CAGCTCACTGCAACCTGTCTCCCGGGTTCAAGCAATTCTCCTGCCTCAGCCTCCTGGGTAGATGGGACTACAGGCACGCACCACAATGCCAAGCTAATTTTTTCTATTTTTAGTAGATACAAGGTTTCACCATGTTAGCCAGAATGGTCTTGATCTCTTGATCTGCTCACCTCGGCCTCCCAAAGTGCTGAGATTACAGGCTTGAGCCACCGCGCCCAGCCCTAACATCTATTTTTATATCTGCTCCATGTTTCTTCCATAAACAACTGCATGGGGGTTACACAGTTACTACTCGGACCCAGAGAGAGCAGGTTGGAAGACAGGAATGGAGCAATACAGAAAGAAAACCACTTGGGTTTCTACTCTTCTGGGGGCCTGGGTGTTCATTTCTTTCTCCCTTTGATTCCGTTAGACTAGAGGGCAGTATCCTTCCAAGTACAATGCCCTTTTTAATCTTATGCTATTTTGAAGAGGTTTTTGTACTTTAAAACCAAAAGAAATTTAAGAGAACTATCAAAAAAGGATCTGTTTCAACTAATAAAATTTAATTCGAAAAAGTAAGTCAGGAGGAGAGAGGGAGGAAAGGTGAGAAAATAATTGTTAACAGTCTTAAAAAATTTTGTAACAGAGTCATTTGATTCTGCTGTAGTTAACTTTAGTTGTCATTTTTACAAGCATTGATACTCTAGAGATTTAGATGTTCTTCCATACTTTTATGAAGTCTTTCCCTCTACTTTGGAACAACTCTAAATTAGAAGTGAGTTAAAATGTCCTGGTAGGTCAAAGCACAGGTACAGGGTTCCATGGGAGTCAGAGAGGAAGAATAACCAAGACAACCTTAGCAAGCCAGGGAAAACTCTCCAAATGGGAGGTCCAAGCTGAGACCTTGAGGTCCTCAACAAAATAAAGAAACAAAGATATTCCAGACAGAAGAACCATACTTGCAAAGCCCTAGAGATGAGAAATAAGATTACAGAAACTGCACTTCCATTGACTAAATACAGCTGAGTGGGGCACAGCCAGAAGTAAAGGCCCTGAGTGGAGGCCCTCAGTATCATGTGAGGGAATCTGCAGTTTGTCTTGCGCAATGGGAGCCAAGCAGGAATCATCACAATACAATATGATATGCGAGCTTTCCACAGGAATATGTAAGAATATTTCATGCCTATTTTTTCTTTTTTTCTGAGACAGAGTCTTGCTCTGTTGCCAGGCTGGAGTGCAGTGGTGCGATCTCGGTTACTGCAACCTCTCACTCCCAGTTTCAAGCAATTCTCCTGCCTCAGCCTCCTGAGTAGGTGTGATTACAGGTACATGCCACCATACCCAGCTAATTTTTCTATTTTTAGTAGAGATGGGGTTTCCCCATGTTGGCCAGGCTGGTCTTGAACAATTACTTCAGGTGATCTGCCTGCCTCAGTCTCCCAAAGTGCTGGGATTACAGGCATGAGCCACTGTGCCCAGCCTCATGCCTAATTTTTATAGTAGCCCCAAATTATAGATATCCTAAATATCTATTAATAGACTAGCTAGTAAGTTATCTTTTCTTTCTTTTTCTTTTTTTTTTTTTTTTTTTTTTTTTTGTGACGGAGTCTCACTCTGTTGCCCAGGCTGGAGTGTAGTGGTGTGATCTTGGCTCACTGCAGCCTCTGCCTCACAAGTTCAAGCCATTCTCCCGCCTCAGCCTCCTGAGTAGCTGAGACTACAGGTGCACACTACCATGCCCAGATAATTTTTTTGTATTTTTATTAGGGATGAGGTTTCGCCATGTTGGCCAGGCTGGTCTCAAACTCCGAACTCCTGCCCTTTGGTGATCCACCCACCTCAGCCTCCCAAAGTGCTGGGAATACAGGCTTGAGCCACTGCACCTAGCCAGTAAATTGTATTTCCACAAGATAGAACCTATATAGCCATTACTAACATAAGTATAGATCTATTACACTGAATGATTATATATTTACATGAAAGATTACAAAACCAACCTGCATAATTTGATCCTTTATACACACTCACATATATATATGTATGTGTACTGCTCTTACTGAGGTTTCCAATGACCTCTTAGCAGGATTAAGTCTACTCTAATCATTTAATAAAATCATTAAAATTATGTATATATAATTACATTTTGATCATTATATATGATTTATGTATAAAATCTCTCATATATATGTGTGTGTGTGTGTGTGTGTGTGTGTGTGTATACTTTCCAGATCAGATGCTCACTCTGTACCTAACTATGGTAATAGTCTCTTTACCAATTTTCTTTACCCAGTCATATATCCCTTCAATTCTTCATCTACTCTGTTGCCAGAGGAATTGCTTAACTGTAATATGATCATCTTATTTTCCTGCTACAAATTTTTCAATGGCTCTTGTTCTCTTTTACACCAGATACTGTAAAAGAGAGATAAAAGTCCTAGATGATATATGATTTCTGATTTTTTGTCCAAAATCATTTCTTTTTTTTGTTTTGGTTTTTTTGAGACAGAGTTTCGCTCTTGTTACCAAGGCTGGAGTGCAATGCCACGATCTTGGCTCACCGCAACCTCCGCCTCCTGAGTTCAGGCAATTCTCCTGCCTCAGCCTCCTCAGTAGCTGGGATTACAGGCACGCACCACCATGCCCAGCTAATTTTTTATATATTTTTAGTAGAGACGGGGTTTCACCATGTTGACCAGGATGGTCCCGATCTCTTGACTTCGTGATCCACCTGCCTTGGCCTCCCAAAGTGCTGGGATTACAGGCGTGAGCCACCGCGCCCGGCCCCAGAATCATTTCTTGCAACTCTGCCTCATATCACATTCCAGGAATATTTAAGTATTCAGTTTCCAGAACACGCCTTGATTTTATATACATCTTTACACTAACATCCTGCACTGTTTGTTCATGGCAAATTCTTAGCTCAAACCCTTCTTCTGCAAAGATTTCCCTAACCTTTGCCATCCTAATCATATAGACAAAGAGCCTTCTTCTCCAGTATTCTCATAAACTTAGTATGTGTTTCTTTTAAAGCAATTCCTTTGCCTATTGTAGAAAAAAATCTAAAAGCTTGAAAGTCTACCTTCTATAATATCAGCAATTCTAGGGAAAAGCCATGCCTTTTTATTTCATGGCACAGTGCCTTCCCAAGTAGGCACTTACGTATTTCTTGATCCCTGCATATGAGGAACTTGGCAATCCAAAGTGCAGGCTACAACCTGGACTAATTAAATCACAATCTGTGAGGGCAGAACATAGGCATTAATTTTTTGAAGCTCTTCATGAGAGTTTAGTATGAGAACTACTGTGCTAAGAGAAAGGGTAGTTAAGAAAAATGTCAGAAAGGTACAGTTTGAGCTAGTCTAGTGGTTTTCAAGTGGTTCATGTTATAGAACATCTAAAGATTACCATATGCTCCCTGAAATATACCATGTCCCCACTCTTTCTCTCTCTTTCTCATATGTCTTTGCTTATGTTATTCCTTCTGCATAAAATTCCCACACTTGTTCACTGGGTAACTTCTACATCTTCCCTCCCACTAAACTTTGTATAGACTCCTTTTAGAGCAAGAATGTATGAGCTAAGACACTCTTAAGTCATATCGCCAAGGTAATAAAAGCTTTGGGGTTAAAAAAGAAATTCTTCTATAGTAAACGTCTTTGTATGTGTGTATATACACTCAGCCTCCTATACATTCCTCCTCTGTGGATTCAACCAACTGCAGACTGAAAATGTAGTTGGTTTATGATGGTTGCATCTGTACTGCACATGTACAGACATTATTTTCTTGTAATTATTCCATAAACAATACAGTTTAACAATTATTTTCATAGCACTTAAATTGTATTAGGAGTTATGAGTAATATAGAGATTATTTAAAGTATATAGCAGGATGTGCATAGGTTTATATGCAAATGCTACATCACTTTATATAAGAGATTAAAACATCCATGAATTTTTGTATCCAAGAGCAGTTTTCCTGGAACTGATCCCCACAAATACCAAGAAATGACTGTATATAACATATGTATTAGAAATACTAGGCCAGGCGCGGTGGCTCAAGCCTATAATCCCAGCACTTTGGGAGGCCGAGGTGGGTGGATCATGAGGTCAAGAGATCGAGACCATCCTGGTCAACAAGGTGAAACCCCATCTCTACTAAAAATACAAAAGTTAGCTGGGCACGGTGGTGCGCGCCTGTAGTCCCAGCTACTCGGGAGGCTGAGGCAGGAGAATTGCTTGAACCCAGAAGGCAGAGGTTGCGGCAAGCCGAGATCATGCCATTGCACCCCGGCCTGGGTAACAACAGCGAAACTCCGTCTCAAAAAAAAAGAAATATTAGACACATTCTGATTTCTAAAAAGTTAAAATGTGAAAAATGTCAGGCTTAGAATTAATGAAATACAGTATGTTTATTTAATGTTACCATATAAATTAAAGGCAATTTTACAAACAAAACAAAAATGTGACTGTATTGTATGTGTACATACACACACATATTTATATATATATATATATATATATATATATATTTTTTTTTTTGAGATAGGCTTTCAGTCTGTTGCCAGGCTGGAGTGCAGAAACATGATCATAGCTCACTGCAGCCTTAAACTCCTGGGCTCAAGCAATCCTCCCACCTCAGCCTCCCTAGTAGCTGGGACTACATGCATAAATTATCATGCCAGCTACTAATTTTTTCATTTTTATTTTTGTGGAGATGTGGGTCTCACAATGTTACCTAGGCTGGTCCTGAACTCCTGACCTCAAGTGATCCGCCTGCTCTGGCCTCTCACAGCAATGGGACTGTAGGTGTGAGCCATCAAGCCAAGCCTGTATATTTTAATTTTTAAAACTCACATTGGTGTATAGTTCACCATCATAAATTTGATTACACTCTTAGGAAGATGTGAAAATATTCTTGAATTCATGTCATAAATGACCTGAAAAATATTACAACTCTTCCCAAAAATGAGAAATTATATATTCATAGCATATATAGAGAAAATAATAAATTTGCTTACCTGAGTAGTGAATAAGGCTGTGTTTGAAAGATCAATAAATCATTACAGTGACCCTAATCAACATAAAAAAGGCATTATTGGGTTTTTGATAAAAATAACAATGAGTTAATAATTGAATGTTTTTCAATTTTATAAGTGTAAAAGGTATTATATAAAGCAGCAAATAAACCTAGCTGTTGACACATACACATAAACGCACGCACACATATAAACATACACATACATATGTATACCTGCTACCCACAAACTTTGAGTTTATGGTTTTCAATTTTCAGTGACCAAATTTTTACCTAACCCATAGCTTATGAAATTGCAAATCTGAAAATCAGAAATACATTCTGATTTAAGAAGTGACTTAAAAAATAAAAGTAGTGGTTTTCTTTTTTTTGAGACAGAGTCCACTCTGTCACCCAGACTGGAGTGCAGTGACGTGATCTCCACTCACTGCAACTCCAACTCCTGTGTTCAAGTGACTCTCTTGCCTGAGCCTCCTGAGTAGGTGGGATTACAGGTGCCCACCACCACACCCAGCTATTTTTTTTTGTATTTTTAGTAGAGATGAGGTTTCACCATGTTGGCCAGGTTGGTCTCAAACTCCTGACCTCAGGTGATCCGCCTGCCTTGGTCTCCCAAAGTGCTGGGATTATAATAATGAGCCACAGCACCTGGCCCAGTAGTGGTTTTCAAACTTTTGTTTTTTTTGTTTTTTTCTATTTGAGACAAGGTCTGACTCCAGGCTGGAGTGCAATGGGGCAATCAGAGCTCACTGCAACCCCTGCCTTCCGGGCTCAGGCCATCCTCCCACCTCCACCTCCAAAGCAGCTGGGACCACAGCAACAGGCCACCATGCCCAGCTATGGTAAAGACAGGGTTTTGCCATGTTGCCCTGACTGGTCTCAAACCCCTGAGCTCAAGCAGTCTGCCTGACTCAGCCTCCCAAAGTGCTGGGATTTTAGGTGTGAGCCACCGAGGCTGGCACTTGTTTTTAAGCTTAACTTTTCTTTCAAATAACTCTTATGTTAAAATTTCCTCTTTATCCTCTTCTCCTTTTCCAGGTGGTCTCAGGGCAGTCTTGATTTGAAAGTCAAGGTCTGGAATTCCCTGGGCATTCTTAATTTGAAAGTCAAGATCTGGAAGATTATTTGAATAATGAGTCCCTCATCTAAAAGTTAAGGTGGTAGAAAAGTCATAGATAATTTCTCTAATCTTTTCAAACAGGTCTTTAGAATTTCATAATTTATGATCATGTTTTTAATCAGAATTCCTATTTTCATGATAAATTTTGTACCCTAATTGAAGATTTCTAGTGCCAACAAAGAGAAAACAAACCACGAAATTTGCTTTTTTAATAAATGCAAAGTTATCGTTTTAATCTTTTAGGGAAGCACTGATTTCTCAGCCAAAGAAAGGTCTAAAACTTTTGATATACAAAACATTTAAGTTACAGGCTTCAGAACTACAAAATAAAGCAAATTCCCCAGAGAGAAGCCATCCTTTTTTGGAGTTTGCCACTCCATAGGAGCAGCTCTGGTGATAACTACATCTCAGGAGATGAAAGAGAGCTAGTGCCCTCTTGGTTATACTCTGGCTCGCTGTACCCCATCCCTGATGGCTCAGAATCCTCTGTTTTTGAGTGTCCTACACAAAACCAGAGCAATCGTCCCTAAACTCCTGTCTCGTTGTGTATGGTATATAAATATGGCCACCCTGCTCTGAATTTCCCAGGGTGCTAGGAGTGAAAAAACCATACTCTCCAAATGCTACTCATTTATACCTTCGACCTTAGTTTCATCACATTTTAAAATGGAAACTCTTTAAACATGAGACTTAGGAATTCTCTTAAAAAAAAAACAACAGGAAATTCTTTAAACTTAAATGTAAAACAGCTGAGTAAAGCAGCGGTAAAAGATATATATATATTTTAAAAGACAATAGGCCAGGCATGGTGCTGTAATCCCAGCACTTTGAGAGCCTGAGGTGGGTCGATCACTTGAGGTCAGGAGTTCAACACCAGCCTGGCCAACATGGTGAAACTTCATCTCTGCTAAAAATACAAAAAATTAGCTGGGCATGGTGGTGCACATCTGTAATCCCAGCTACTTGAGCGGCTGAGGCAGGAGAATCACTTGAAACTGGGAGGTGGAGGCTGCAGTGAACCAAGACTGCGCCAGTGCACTCCAGCCTGGGTGACAGCAAACCCCTGTCTCAAAAAAGAAAGGGAATATACTTTAAATATTTCAACAAAGTGGTTTCCTCTTGAGGGGAGAAGCTAGTGCATAAGATTCAGAAGGAATAATCAGGTAGCTTCAACAATATTGATGATGTTCTAATTCTAAAATTAGCCAGCAAAATTTATGGTTATTTATTATACTTAGGATCTACATTATAAACATTCTTTTTATGTATCAAATATTATATACAAACATATACATTTTGAGACAGGGTTTCACTCTGTCACCCAGACTGGAGTGCAATGGCATGATCTTGGTTCACTGCAACCTGTCTCCCTGGTTCAAGAGATTCTCCTGAGTCATTTTTGTATTTTTAGTAGAGATGAGGTTTTGCTATGTTGGCCAGGCTGGTCTTGAACTCCTGGCGTCAAGAGATTTGCCTACCTCAGCCTCCCATAGAGGCCTGGGCCACTGAACCTGGCCTACATAAAAATATTTTAATTCAATAATATTAGAGACACCCATGTAAGGGAAAAGGGAAAGAGGAATCATCCTTTAAAAGGTCTTCTTAATAATCTGGCTAATGAAACTAATAGACCTATTTTGATATGTAAATCCAAAACATCCAGAAGGGCTTCATAAAAGCCACTCATCCTGAAGATTAATTAAACCACAGAGTTACATTTCATGCCCTTCCATATTTTGCAATGTTAGAATATCAACATTCTTGCTGAATAGCCATTTAGTCTGAATAACACAACTACTCAGAGGAAATATTTAGATATAAGATTTTCTTACTGTATCCAAGGCAAGTAAGTCATCTTTGCTCCCACCAAATACCATTATTTCATTTTCTTTTCCCAAACAGGCTGTGTGCCATAACCTATGTTTGAAAATTTTAAACAGAGTGAAACACTGTCATGGAAGAAACTGTACATTACATATAAATCAATTCTAAATTTCGTACTGTAAAATATAATCTATTTAAAAGAGACATAATTGAACTTGAACCTTTGGGATATCCTAAAAGGGGTTATAATGATTCCTCTAGAGCTTATTAAATCACACCATTAAGGAGATGATTCTTTCTCTGTTTTTTGTTTGTTTGTTTGTTTGTTTGTTTTAGGAGATGCGGTCTCTTCATGTTTCCCAGGCTAGATTTGAACTCCTAGGCTTAGGTAATCCTCCTGCCTCAGCCTCCCAAAGTGCTGAGATTATAGGCATGAGCCATCACACCCAGCCAGAGATGACTCTTAATAACGGTTTCCATTATATCCCTCAACATTTTTATAACCTTTTTCTCTCATACATATTATCCCTGAAGTAAAATAAAAAGGAACTGATCACATTATTGCTGAAATAGGCACTTTGCCCAGTTTTCTTACTACTATCTGCCACGTTACTATTCTTATAATTTTTGCCTCTTTTTTTTTCCTGCTCTATGTTCCCCATCACCCAACAAATCCAATTTGGCACTCCTTCACATTTCCATTGTCACACTACTCATCACTCTGAGTACAGAACACCATAGTATGTTCCTAGTTTTTCAGTCTCTCACCTCCCCCAGATACATATGGCTAATAAATACTTTTCAAATATTGTTTCTAACTATAAAAATTTCCTGATGAGGAAACATCTACACTACCAATGGCTGTTTTTCCTAGCCTAGTATTTGTGATCAACCACTGTTTTCTTCCCCCACAAATCTTCATTCTTGGCTTCTTCCCAAATGAGCCCTCTGTTTAGCTAAATTCATTTCCTTGCTTCCCCTGTGAGAAAAGCTTATTATCTACCTCTAGGCTTTTGTTCATTCTGTTTCTTATGTTTAGAATAATAAGCCTGAAAAATAGGCTCCAAACACCCAGGAAGTATTCCAAATACCCACCCAAAACTGGTTCTGTTACCATCTCTATTCAGCACCCTTTAATGTTTATGTGCTCATTTTGTAATCGCCTCACTTACATTTGAAGATGAACTGCTCTGCATGCTACTTTAGCTGTTTGACTACCTAAGATTATGAGGTCCTTGAGGTAAGAAATTGTCAGTGGTGTGCTGGAAACAGCTTACTGGCTAGCAGAAGCTGACTGTGCATATCTCCATCCAACTCCACATACCGTGACATCATGTTGGAAGCTTGAAATCAGCCAGGGTAGGAGTATTTACACCTTGGAAATCAGCAAATACTACAAATTAGAGCATCCTCCCACTCTGGAGAGTGGTTGTTACCTGTTACCAGCACAGCATGGGAACGTGAGGAATCCAATTTTTTTTTTTTTTTTTTTTTGAGACGGCATTTCACTCTTTCGCCGCCCAGGCTGGAGTGCAGAGATGCCTTCTCGGCTCATTGATTGCAACCTCTACCTTCTGTGATTCTGCAATTCTGCCTTTCAAGTGATTCTCCTGCCTCAGCCTCCCGAGTAGCTGGGGTTACAGGCACCCGCCATCACACCCAGCGAATTTTTGTACTTTTAGTAGAAATGGGGTTTCACCATGTTGGCCTGGCTGGTCTCAAACTCCAGACCTTGTGATCCACCTGCCTCAGCCTCCCAAAGTGCTGGGATAACAGATGTGAGCCACCACACCTGGCTGGGGAATCTCATTTTATGGCTTCTTAAAAATGTCTCATGTGGTGTTCTGCACCCAGTACCTGCTCAAAAACTTATGATTAACAAAAGCAAACACAAGGCTGGGCATGATGGCTCAAGCTGTAATCCCAGTACTTTGGGAGGCAGAGATGGAGGGATCACAAGATCAGGAGTTCAAGACCCCTGGCCAACATAGTGAAAGTCCATCTCTAATAAAAATACCAAAAGAATTAGCTGGGTATGTTGGTGTGCGCCTGTAAACCCGGCTACTTAGGAGGCTGAGGAAGCAGAATCACTTGAACCTGGGAGGTGGAGGTTGCAGTGAGCTGAGATCACACCACTGCACTCCAGCCCGAGTGACAGAGCAAGACTCTAACTCAAAAAACCAAAACCAAAACAACAACAACTAAAAACCCAAAAGCAAACATGAGAAAACCAATATAATTCAGTCATTAGACATATAAATTATTTCATAAAGGAGTAGAGCATCTAATGTTCTTTTGGAAGTGGTCTGATAGCTCACATCTATTTCCAATATATCACATTATTACCAAATAATAATTTTATGGTTTTACAAAGTTGAATATTTCCAGAGTAAGAGAACTCTCAAAAACAGTTCATGTAAATTTCCCAATTTTAGATTTATATTTTATATTTAGATTTCCCAATCTAAAATTGGGAGATTTACATTTAAATTTAAATCTAAATTAGGGATTTTACATAGTCATTGCTTTTACTTTGAGAGTACCTTGATTACTTCTTTTTTTTTTTGAGACAGGGTCTGGCTCTGTTACCCAGGCTGCAGTGCAGTGCCACAATCTCTGCTTCTTCCAACCTCTGCCTCCTGGGCTCAAGCAATCCTCCCACCTCAGCCTCCCGAGTAGCTGGGACTACAGGCACATGCCACCACACCCAGTTAAATTTTTTTTTTTTTTTTTGGAGAGATGGGGTTTCACTATATTATCCAGGCTGGTCTCAAACTCTTGGGCTCAAGTAATCCCCCTGCCTTGGCCTCCCAAAATGCTGGGATTACAGGCGTGAGCCACCACACCTGGCCTTACTTTTCTTAATACACGAATTTTGAAGCAACAGGTGCATAAAACAATTATAAATCATAACTTATTTAACTTATGTTAACTATTAACATAACCATATAACTTATTTTTCTGTTTCCCAGAAACTGGGACACATAAGTTTTAGTGCATTAACCCCTTTTACTTAGCTTTCCCAAGTGCAAACAGTGGGATTATGCACAATTTGTTAAAACAGATACTTCCCTCCAACACTCATGTACACATTCAATGACAAATGCGCTTGTGGCCCAGAAAGGAACCAAGTCATTAGAGATGTTTGGGAAATACTCTGCCCAATTCTCCAACTCTTATGTTAGAAGATACATTGATATAAATCTTTAGCAAGAACCCAGATTATGTGGTGGGGTCGAAGATGGGGACTGGAAGAGGGTTAGGTAAAGGAGAGAGAATACAAGAAATGTCCTCATACATGGGAAGGAATAGATCAATTTCCTGGAAGGAAGGCTATTTGTAACCTTGGCAATACTCGTGAGATCCAACAGTACTTGGGGCTCTATAGTCTCCAACAGCTTTTTCAGACACATTAAAAAAGGGTCCTTGTTGACAGCCACCTATATAGGCTATCAGATATGGCTACATGTATGGCTTTTCAACCATAGTTTTATCTGGGTGAGACCCAGAGAATAATAGTGCTATACTGTAGAATAGTCATTCTCAACCAGGGGCAATTTGTCCCCCAAAGAGGCATTTCACAATATATGGAGATATTTTTAGTTGTCACAACTTGGGGAGAGAAAAGGTAGTACAACTGGCATCTATTGTATAAAGGACAGAGATGCTGCTAAATATACTATAATACATAGGACACCCTCATGACAAATAATTATGTGGTCCACAATGTCAGTAATGCCAATGAGAAACCTGCTGTAGAGTTCAAGAGAATTGGGCAGCTTACGTTTCAAATTACAACTTGGAAAGTTTTCATAAAATGCTATAGATCTTAGCTGAATTGTCACTTTTATAAAAATTAGTAAATATATACACACACATATATGTTCTCCTTACACTCAACTGTATCCCACCTGTTCTCCTCCTCACCTCATACCTGAAGATAGATCTGCCTCTGTCTTATCTGCCTTAGAGAAACTCTGGCCTGGATTTCATCACCGCAGAACACTGGAAAGCCTTTCCTGACTTGATTTTGATGACATCTAGCTTGCAACCTGATGTTTTTTCTATAGACTGATAGTTTATGTCCTTTCACAGCTGCTCTAAACTTAACACCTAAACATTCTAATAAAGCATATTATTTACATGTCACATCAGCTGAATTAAAATAAATCTCTTTACACAGCTCTAGTTCTAACTAGTATTTTATTACTGATAACAGTTATATTGCTCTAATTACTCATTAAGGGTTCAAATATAAAATAGGAGCAATTTTAAAACTAAACATTTTTACTAATACTTTGTTCTATAATTAACGCATTCATACAATCAAACAACTGGAATAAACTAAGAGATTATCTAGTCCAACTGCCTCATTTCACAGATAAAGAAATTGATGCATAGTTTCTTTCTTTCTGTTTTTGAGACAGAGTCTGGCTCTGTTGCCCAGGCTGGAGTGCAGTGGTGCAATCTTGGCTCACTTAAGCCTCAGCCTCCTGCATCAAGTGATCCTCCAACCTCAGCCTCCCCAGTAGCTGGGACTATGAGGTGTGTACTACCACACCCGGCCATTAAAAAAAAAATTATAGAGATGGGTCTCACTATGTTGCCCAGGCTAGTCTCAAACTCCTGGACTCAAGTGTTCCTCCTGCCTTGGCCTCCCAAAGTGCTGGGATTAATAGGCAAGAGCCATCATGCCCGGCCAATGCTCAGTTTCCTTAAGTGACTTTTCGAAGCCAAAAAACTAAGTGGTAGCTGAGCAAGGACTAGAACTCTGGCCTCCCATGTCTTAGTACAAAACTCTTTAAGTTAAAAAAAATTTTTTCAAAAGAGCCAGAACTGTTAAAAATAAGACATTCCAATGAATTTTTATAAAGCAGATAGAAGAATCATAAATGCAATTATGATAAATTCTAAATGTACTGCAAATATTAATATAGATACATATACAAAATACACATAAATACTTTCAGGCCTTTTTCTCAAGTATGTTGTCATTTATTAAATAACAAAAATACATATCATTAAATTGAGTTCACACTAGCATAAATTCTAGAATGCATTTTTAGAAGTCTAAAATACATAGCATGAAAAAGATTAAAATCTATTACCAATTTTGATTATAATGTGCTCAATCTGAATTTCCTATGAAGATATCATTATACTACTCAATCAAATCAGAAAAAAATAAGAATTATAGTACAAATGTGGTTTTCTTTGTAGTCTAATAATAGTATATAACTTCTACAATTTTTAATCCTATTATATGCCATAAATAACATTTTCTTTTTCAAAAAATTCGTATCAATGAATACAGCATGCAGTTAATAAAGAAAAATAATAATCTGCCACCCACTGGATCAACGTGGAAGCAATTTCCTGATTAACTTACTTTAAACCTCTTCCAAAAACAACTACTACTAAAGCCAACCTGATTCTTGTCTACTTATGAAAAATACTAACATTAAAAACATTAATCTCATATGATGCTTTTAATTATCTTAATCTTTACAGTTATCAGGCAAGATTATACATTTACCTAAAAGAAAAACATTTTCAAATATGCAAATATGGGTGAAAACTAGATAGATCATTTCTAACATTCAGATATAACTAAATAATAATTATTTAGGTAGCATTAAGTTCATTTGAAAGATATCCTTCTTAATGACTTATGGTCTCAACGGCAAACAATATAAATTCAGTACTATATTTTAATACTTAGAAAATCTTAACTATGTTACTATTTGTCAATGTTTTGACTTACCTTGGTCTTGTTTTAGGTACATGTGTAAGTTGTTTCCAACAATTTGTTGTGACATTATGAATCCAACCATCACCTGCAATATTATGGCAGTTAAGAAATTAAGATGAGGTCTTTGGGATACCATTGTAATTTTCCCCAAAATTTATTATGCTACATTTAAATGATTCTCTTTTCTGAGTGTGCCTATTTTATCATAAAAATTTTCAAACATTTACAAAAGTAGAGTTACCATGACAATGAAATTCCACGTATCGCAGATTTGACAGCTATCGAGACTTTGCTACATGTGCTCCACTTGCTCCACTTATCTTCTTGTTATTCTTATTGCTTTATTTTTCTAAATGAAATCCTAGATCTCCTATCATTTTCCCCATACATACTTACTGGAAAAAAAGGACATTTTTTTACATAATCACAATGCCATTATCACAGTCAACCAAGCTAAAAAAATATTTATTGGGATCATCTAATATCCGTATGACCAAATCTTAAACTGAAACAGAATCTTTAAGGGAGAAAATTGACTAGATTATGAGTCAGGGCATTTAATTCCCACAGATCAATGACCAAAAATGAAAACAGAAACTAAAAACACTAGAGATCATGAAGATATGATGTTAAACAACCCCTACTGAACTGTACAGATGTTGGTTTTTTTGTTAGATTCCAAATCTCTTTTAATTAAAAATCTAACAAATTGAAGAAGTATAATAACATGCAAGAATAACTAACATCTCCTACTAGGAACTGTTGTTACTCCAACTAACCTCTGGAATTTGTCTGGTGGCCAGCTCTGACTGCCACACACACAGCTGATGCTCAATGAACTTTTGTTAAAAAATAGTTGTTTCCAGACCCCAATATATAACATAAATGTTTTAATAGTATATAATGTTTCTTAATGAAAACACCTCTAGCCATAGAAAACTTCTGGGTTAAGAAAATAGACAACAGACAGGCACGGTGGGTCACGACTGTAATCCCAGCACTTTGGGATGCTGAGGCGGGTGGATCATGAGATCAGGAGGAGTTTGAGACCAGCCTGTCCAACATGGTGAAATACCATCTCTACTAAAAATACAAAATTCAGCTGGGCATGGTGGTGGGTGCCTGTAATCCCAGCTCCTTGGGACGCTGAGGCAGAAATCGCTTGAATCTGGGAGGCAGAGGTTGTAGTGAGCCAAGAATGTGCCACTGCACTCTAGCCTGGGTGACAGAAGACTCTGTCTCAAAAAAAAAGAAAACACAAAACATCTAATATGCCAAATTAAGAAGTCGACATTCGGCCGGGCGCGGTGGCTCAAGCCTGTAATCCCAGCACTTTGGAAGGCCGAGGCGGGTGGATCACGAGGTCAAGAGATCGAGACCATCCTGGTCAACATGGTGAAACCCCGTCTCTACTCAAAATACAAAAAATTAGCTGGGCATAGTGGCACGTGCCTGTAATCCCAGCTACTCAGGAGGCTGAGGCAGGAGAATTGCCTGAACCCAGGAGGCGGAGGTTGCGGTGAGCCGAGATCATGCCATTGCACTCCAGCCTGGGTAACAAGGGTGAAACTCCGTCTCGAAAAAAAAAAAAAAAAAAAAAAAGAAGTCGACATTCCTGGTCAGGTGTCTATCCCGATGCCACAATTTTACTGCTGAAAAAAAAACTGCATTCCAAAACGAATAGCCACTAGGACCAGCAGTAACAGGAGCTTAAAAAACCTAGCTAAACACTTTCCTCCATAGTTCTGGAACAAAAAGAGAAGGGTATCCTACTTTATATTTTCAGGGCCTTCTAAGAAAGGCTGCTCTTCTAACCCCCTATCCTGGAGTATAGCACAAGCAAACAGTGCAAGCATCCTAACCTATAGTACAAGCATCTAGATCAAAAACAGCAGACATGGAATCACAGACTATATATAGTAGTGGAAAGCGGCTTTATTACATCTAGCCTCAATCACCCTTCCTCTTCTCTTTCCCTAGAAAACATGGGAACATGGAGAGTCAAGGGTACAAAAGCAAAAAGGTCATAATTCATGCAAGAAAATAGTTGAGGATAAAGGCAAACGAGGAAAACAGGAAAAAAAAAAGATGTACCTTACTGTAAGTACAGAATACAATGAATAAAAAAGAATGAGATAATCATTACAGGCTAAATTTTAATCAACTTACTTAATGGGATATTATCTGCACTTAGTCCACCACATAGAAAAAGTTTATCATCAGCTATTGGTGTTAAAGTATGCCATGACCGATGTTTTGGGCTTTCTCCATTAATAGTAATCCTGTGGCAAGGGGAAAAAGAAGTCTAGGTACTATGTTAATCAAAAGAAAAGGTTTTAATCTTAGATCTTAAGAAAAAAATTGCCCTCACTGTCCCCCAAAGAAGAGTTGATTTTACTAGTGCCCCCTACATGAATATTTTTAAAACATTATTAAATTCTTAGATGAATTTAAACAAATTTCTCCATTTAATGGCCATTCCATCTGGTTACAGAGTGAAAATAAAAGTCAATTCTCTGTTAATTCACAATGCACACTCAGCATCATTTTTATTGGCGAATCAGCTGCTCCCTCAGTTTTTCAACAAATTTTTTTTTTCACGTCTATAACTTTTTACTGTTGTTTCAAGGTTAACTTTGTGTTTTTAGCTGATTTCCCCATGGATATTATGGGTTTTTATATTGTTGTTTTTACTTTGATCTACTTCTAGAATTTCCCAAAGCATTATCTTCCTCTGAAAATGCTAGCTATTTTAACTTCAAAATAAAAGCATGTAAGCCATTCCAGATCCAGGTTAAACCTCTAAGGATTTCTTAAAAAATAAAATACATAAAAACAAGGCCAGGCATAGTGGCTCACTTCTGTAATTCCAACACTTTGGGAGGCCAAGGCAGGAGGATTACTCGAGCCTAGGAGTTGGATAGATCATCCTGGGCAAAATGGAGACAGTCTCTTAAAACAAAACAAAACAACAAGAATAATTATAATCATAAAAGGGACATTTAAAAGAGATAGGGCATGAAAAATAAAAACATAAGCATAAATTAGAACCAAAAGAATTTAATTTAGTAGGTGAGAAAATACCATTCTTCCACAGTCTGAAATGTTCCAGAATAACACAGGTCATTTTTGGAAGATGTAATTTTTTTTTTTTTGAGATGGAGTTTTGCTCTTGTTGCCCAGGTTGGAGTGCAATGGTGCAATCTCAGCTCACTGCAACCTCCGCCTTCCGGGGTTCAAGTGATTCTCCTGCCTCCACCTCCCGAGTATCTGGGATTATAGACAACTGCCACCACATCTGGCTGTTTTTGTGTTTTCAGTAGAAATGGGATTTTATCATGTTGGCCAGGGTGGTCAAGAACTCCTGACCTCAGGTGATCCACCCACCTCAGCCTCCCAAAGTGCTGGGGTCACAGGCGTGAGCCACGATGCCTGGCCAACACGTTGGTTTTAAAACATTTCAACAATAACAAAAATAGTTCTTTAAAAAGGAGAGCTCTTCTATAATTTTGTACCCCAGCAATAAGAAATAATAATTTGCTATGTATCTTTCCAGATTTTAATGCATAAACATATTTCTTAAAAATAAATACATCAGAGCATATACCCTGTAATTTTTTTACATAACTAATATGTTATAGATTATTCCCATGAAATATGGTTTCCTGCGGTAATAGAAGCATGGCAGCTCACTGGGCAAAGGTACCATCATATAAACAATTCCCACTGGTGGATATGGGGATTAACCTCAAGTTTTGGCTTTTATAAATAATGTTGCAATGAACATACACTTGTCTAATGATTGCCTTCAGAGGAATTGAGCTATAAACATATTGTCGGACTGTCTTCTAGAAAACCTGTACCAATCTGTACTCCCAACAATTTTGTTACATCCTAGCACTTACTGGTCATTATAACTATTTATATCTGACAACTGAAAAATTACTTTTGTTTCTATTTCTTCCACAATCTATGAGGTTGAACATCTTTTAAAAATAATTTTTACCTATTAGTATTTATTTTGTGAGTTGTTCATGCATGTTCTTTGTCCACTTTTCTATTGGATTATTTGTTTTTTTTTTGTTTTTAGTGATTTACTGAGTTCTTGTGGATCTTTGTCCTAGTCTCTCTCTTCTAAAAATATTGCAAATATTGTTTTTTTGTTTGCATTTTACACTTTCCTTTTTAATTTTTTTGTAGTACATTTTTCTATAGAGAAATATTTAATTTTTAAGTGGTCTGATCAATCAGTCTTTTCATTTATGAATTTTGAGTTCCTATCATCTTTACAAAGTTTTCTCTAGGCCAAGATTTTTTTTTTTTGTACCAAATTTCTTTTATCTGAGGGAATGGTACAAAGAACTTAAGTGGATATTTTAGTACAACTTATAGAAAAGGTAAAGGAAACCCCAATATACATGCACTGCCTTGGTGACCCCATGGCTATAGGGAAATTAGCCTAAGGCTTAGCTTTCATTATCACCAGGGTGTGCTTGTCAAAGAGATATTCTGCCAAGCCAGACTGGGGTGCTCCCATCTTGTGCAAGTTGGTCACGTGGTCACCCAATTCTTTGATGGATTTCACCTGCTCATTCAGGTAATGTGTCTCAATGAAGTCACACAAATGGGGGTCATTTTTGTCAGTGGCCAGTTTGTGCAGTTCCAGTAGTGACTGATTCATGTTTTTTTCCAAATGTTATGCACACTCCATCGCATTCAGCCCGCTCTCCCAGTCACCATGGTCCGGTTTCTTGATATCCTGAAGGAAGATGCGGCCGCCTCTTGGTTCTGCAGCTTCATCGGTTTTCTCCGCATGTTCCCTCTCCTCATGAGATTGGTGAAGAAAGTACTTGGCAAAGTTCTTCAAAGCCACATCGTCGTGGTCAAAGTAGTAAGATATGGACAGGTAAACATAGGAGGCGTAGAGCTCCAGGTTGATCTGGCGGTTGATGGCAGCCTCTGAATCCTAGTGGTAATTCTGGCGCACCTGTGAAGGTGATGCTGTAGTCATGGCGGCGGCTAAGGAGAGGTGGCGGTGGCGGTGGCTCTGCGGTGCTGGAGAAGCAGCGTGGGCCTTGGGGTGGTCCGAGGGCACGGTGTGGAGGTGACGGAGGGCTGGCTGTGTGTGGCCGGCCGGGGTGGGGGACGAGCGCCGGGTTCCGTCCGAGTACTGTTGAAGCAGGAAACCGTGGCGACTCTCGGCGAAGAACATCTTCAGGCCAAGATTTTAAAGATAATCTGCTACATTTTCTTATGAGACTTTCATGGTGTTATTTCTAATGGTATTTATACTTTGGAATACTATATAGCTCTGATTCCAACTCATTACATGAAATGCCAAGTGGATAGCTAAATATATTTGCTATTGTTAAATATATATTAAGAGCTACAAATAAAATCTGACTTTTCTCTACTCCATTATCTGTTCACCTGAGATGATCCCATTCAATCATTTCTTCATTTCTTCTACTGATCAGCCCTCAAAGAATACTTAGTATAAAACCAGTACTTTAATCTAATTTCAGCTGTTAGTATTTTCATGTTTTATCTTGTTTGGTTAAGGAACAAACTCTATTTAAATCTATATAGTCCTAGCTTAGACATTATGGACACATACAGACACACATACATGCCTATAGATTAAAATGTACTTAGACTTCAAACTTACCTTCCAGACCAAGTCCAGGTGTCTAGGTTTAGATAGTGCAAATCATTCATCCTAGTTTGCTAAAATAAAAGTGTATTACATTGGTCAGTGTTTCACATCTTTTAACAGCTAAAATTTTTATTTTGAAATAAGTTCAGATTAAAAATAGACTATCTCTATTTTACTTAACATGAGAAGTTTAAATATTGAAAAACAATGCTAAGCATTAATATGACTGACACAAAGCTCCCAAATCAATGTGTCAAAGAGGAAACGAAGAAATGGGTTTAAATTCACACACTTTAGATTACAAGAATTTAATTTTTTTCTGATACTGCACTGAAGTGAAGGATTCTCTTCATTAAAATATGATTTATAATTATCTATGATTGTTCATGTATAGTCTGTTTAGGAAATAGAAGATAAATGTTAGTATTGAATGCCATTTTAATCATTAGATAACATGAACATTCAATTATTCCCCAAATCAGAGGATAAATTTTTTATAAGGAGAACTGTACATAAAAATACCATTTCCATTAAAAACACTAACCAAAACACGTCCGCCAAATACATAACCCTTATTTCCAAGAACTGCACACGTATGCGCGGCTCGTGGCTGTGGTGGAACTCCACCCTGCAAGTAGAAATCACAACAAATTGCAAAGACTTGAAATAGATATAATAAAATTACATTCCGATGCTCAGTATGAGAAATTCTTAACCACTAAGTTATTATTACCTATATAATTCCATTAAAAATGCTACTGCAAAAGTTTATTCTAAATAGTAATAATTATAGACAAATACTATTCTTCAGAATCAATTTTACTGTCCCTTTATTTTTGAAAATGTTTTGCTTATATTTTTATATTTCTTTACTTTTGAAAATGTTTTGCTTATATTTCCGACACTATTTGGCAAAATAAGGTTTCATGTAAATTTTTGCTTGAAATACCGTATAAAGATTTTTAAATCAAATTTTAAAATTTTTTCTGTCTCCCTCTCTGTTTCTCTCTCACACACACAGAGTTACTATTAGAAGTGAGGAATGTGCATAATGCGATTATCTCACAAACTCTACAAAATTAAAAATGGTTCCAAAATTCTTGGTGCCTCAAATTTACAATAAGAACTTCACTCTGGGCTTAAGCCAGACAATGCTCTTTTACTAAAACTCTTAATATTAATCGATAACACTTCTCTACAGTTTATTTTGAATAAATATAGCAGATCTTTTCTTCAGAGAAGTTTTGTTTTGTTTTGTTTTGTTTTTGAGACAGAGTCTTGCTCTATCGCCAAGGCTGGACTGCAGTGATGTGATATTGGCTCACTGCCACCTCCATCTCCTGGGTTTATGTGATTCTCCTGCCTTAGCCTCCTGAGTGGCTGGGATTACAGGCATGCAACACCAGGCCCGGCTAATTTTTGTATTTTTAGTAGAGAGGGAGTTTTGCTTTGTTGACCAGGATGGTCTCAAACTCCTGGCCCCAAGCAATCTGTCTGTCTCAACCTCCCAAAGTGCCTGGATTACAGGTGTGAGCCACCACACCAGCCTAGAGAGGTTTTTAATTGGTGGAAAAAGCAAGTATCATAGGTAGATGAATGAATGCAATTTGAGGGAAGAATCTTCTGCATAATTTCTGTATTTTCATGGTGGGTGCCTTTATGTAGGTATTTTAATTCCAAGTGCTGAAAGAAGCTGACATTTTCTGCTCACCGGATACTTGAAGGGGGTATAGGATATTAAAGCTCTGCATCAAGGAGAATCACTTGAACCTGGGAGGCGGAGGTTGTGGTGAGCCGAGATCATGCCACTGCACTACAGCCTGGGTGACAAGAGTGAAATTCCATCTCACACACACACACACATGCTCTGCATTCACTATCATAACTTCCTAAACTTTTCAGGCTTATTGAATAACTGCGCTGTGGTCAACTTGGTAAGAAATAATTCAGGTATTACCTATATAACACTTAAAGGAGAACCATTTAAGAATTTTGGTTCCCGGGTGGGTACGGTGACTCACGCCTGTAATCCCAGCACTTTGGGAGGCTAAGGTAGGCAGATCATGAGGTCAAGAGATCAAGACCATTCTGGCCAACATGGTGAAACACTGTCTCTACTAAAAATACAAAAATTAGCTGGGTCTGGTGGTGTGTCCCTGTAATCCCAGCTACTTGAGAGGCTGAGGCAGGAGAATTGCTTAAAACCAGGACGCAGAGGTTGCAGTGTGCTGAGATCGCGCCACTGCACTCCAGCGTGGTGACAGAGCAAGGCTCTGTCTCCAAAAAAAGAAGAATTTTGGTTCCCAGCTTTTCCAGCAAAACAAAATTTTTATTATTACTCCAGGCTTGATCTGAAATTCTGGAAGAATTCTACTATATACATGAGAATAGATGAACGCTGCAAATCTGAAATTTATTGCCTGGAAAAAAAGGATGCAGAGAATAGCCAAACTATAACACTAATTTGCATAGAATTTCCCATTATTTCCATGAACAGAAGTTGGACTGTAAGGAACTCTGGTCATTGTTTCCTATGATCCATGTTAGAGGGAGAAAAAAAAGGAATTCTGGTCACATATTTGTATTGGTAGACATATATGTAACTGCGCATATATGACCTGCTTAGCATTCTACTCTTGTTCGATTTTGATAAGCTTATCAGTCACAATACCCTGCTCTCCTTAGCAATGAACATGTGACTCAAGACTGGCCAATCATCCCTTTGGCATCAGGGATTGCTATAAACAGTGGGAACCTGCCCAAGCAGAGGCAGAGTCCTTTTCTAAGACTAATACAAAAACGCTAAGAGAGTACAATACAAATAATTGCTTGTGTAGCCAGGACCATATTCCCTCTGAAATGAGCCAGTGTGTCTGCCATAGACAGAATGAAACAAGCACATAAAGAGAAGCAGACAAAGTATTGCAAGGATGCAGAGTAACCTGCTCTGGTTCCTGAGACCCTGGTCCCTGCAGCTCTTCCTTGTACTTTGTGAGCCATTCTAATATGCTTTCCACCTATGTGAGAATTCATTATTGCTTAAATTAATTTGAATTTGTGTTTGGTCACTAACAAATGAAAGAATACTGACAATGTATTTTTGTCATGCCATAATTGTATGTACCTCTGAATTCAAAGGTATATAAAACATGTGCTTTGTTATAAAAGGATTTTTAAAAATAAGCCTTTTTAATAAAGATTTTTAAAAGGAAGAATGATGATGGCACCTCATTAAAATATTTTTTTTTCTAGAAAACCTCAGCTGACATGGAGAAGAATAGGCAATTTGTTTGTTTGTTTGTTTTGAGAGATGGGGTTTCACTATGCTGCCCACGCTAGAATGCAGTGGAGTGCAATGGCTATTCACAGGTGCAGTTGTAGCACACTACAGCCTTGAACTCCTGGACCCAAGTGAAACTCCTGCCTCAGCCTCCTGAGAAGTTAGGACTGAAGGTGCCATCTATGACTCTGATGTTTTTCTTTTCTTCTTTTTTTTTTTCTTTTTTGAGATGGAATTTCCCTCTTGTTACCCAGGCTGGAGTGCAATGGCATGATCTCGGCTCACCGCAACCTCCGCCTCCTGGGTTCAAGCAATTCTCCTGCCTCAGCCTCCCAAGTAGCTGGGACTACAGGCACATGCCACCATGCCCGGCTAATTGATGTTTTTCTTAAAGCTATTAAAGCACTCAAGGGAACTACTTAGTATGTGATTACACACCAAATTACAAAAATCCAAATAATAGGCCGGGTGTGGTGGCCTGTAATGCTGTAATTTCCACACTTTGGGAGGCTGAGGCGGGTAGATCACTTGAGGTCAGGAGATCAAGACCAGCGTGCCAACATGGTAAAACTCTACCTCTACTAAAAATAAAAAATACGGGCGCGGTGGCTCAAGCCTGTAATCCCAGCACTTTGGGAGGCCGAGGCGGGCATATCATGAGGTCAGGAGATCGAGATCATCCTGGCCATGGTGAAACCCTGTCATAATAAAATATAAAAAAAAAATTAGCCGGGTGCAGTGGCACGTGCCTGTGGTCCCAGCTACTCAGGAGGCTGAGGCAGAGGAATTGCTTGAATCTGGGAGACACAGGTTGCAGTGAGCCAAGATCGTGCCACTGCACTCCAACCTGGCAAAAAGAGCAAGATTCCATCTCAAAAAAAAAAAAAAAAAAAAATTAGCCAGGCATGTTGGCCCATGTCTGTAGTCCTAGCTACTCAGGAGGCTGAGGCAGGAGAACCACCTGAACCCAGGAGGCAGAGGTTGCAGTGAGTTGAGTCTGTGCCACCATACTTCACCCTGGGCAACAGAGCAACACTCTGTCTCAAAAACAAAACAAGCTGGGCATGGTGGCTTACACCTGTAATCCCAGCACTCTGGGAGGCTGAGGCAGGCGGATCACCTAAGGTCAGGAGTTCGAGACCAGTCTGACCAATATGGTGAAACCCCATCTTTAAAAAAAAAAAAAAATTTTTAAAAACAGCAACAACCCCAAAATCCAAATAACATAGTAAAAAATCAATTTTTAAATATAAGTATATAAATACAAAGATAACTTTTTATAACACTTACTTTAATTTCTGGTTGAAACCAAGTCTGTGTCTTTGTGTCAAATACATGGACATCATTATGCCATCCCCAGAATATCTGCTCTTCCTAAAAGATAAATTTTTTAAATATCTAAAAGCTTTAATAATGTTTACATTATTATTACCGTTTTCTCACATATTTACTGGTAAAATAATAGATACCTTACAAAAATAGAATTAAGTGTTACCATTGTCATAAAGCTACTGCATATACTGATGCCTCCCAAAGCATGGTCCCCAGACCAGTAGCACCACCTGGCAACTTTCCTTCTCACAGTATTGTTTGCAGTGAATCATAATTGTACTTGCTGACAATCTTTCAATATTCAACTTTTGAATGCCTCCCAAAGCGTGGTCCCCAGACCAGCAGCACCACCCTGCAACTTTCTTTCTCACAGTATTGTTTGCAGTGAATCATAATTTTACTTGCTAACAATCTTTCAATATTCTCAAAGGATTATCTTTTTTAAAATTGCAGAGGGAAGAGTGATATTTACATTTTAAAATATGTTTTTCTAAAGCACATGCTCAGAACTTTTCATTTTTGCTGTAATAAACTTTAAAGGGTCATGATTTCTTTTTCTAAAACTTCTGATCGCTTCTACTTCACCAAACAATTTGTTCTTATAGATTAAACTTAGGACCACTCTCTTCTTTATCTCCTAAGATATAAAATCCTTTGTCAGCAAGGCAAAGACTTGGCAGCTATACTGTATTTAGCATCTCCCAGGGTGCTAAAATCCTCTACCACTACTCCAGATGATCTTTGTGCCAGTTTTATACTCTATGTCAGATCACTAGAAGTCAGGTGTTCAAGACCAGCATGGCCAACATGGCGAAACTCCATCTTGACTAAAAATACAAAAATTACCCAGGCATCAGAAATACATAATTTATTTTTGTCAGGTCTTGTCAAGCAAGTCAAATTAGCTAAATCATTTACTTGGTTTAGGATCATTTTTTAATTTATTTTTATTGAAACAGGGTCTTGCCATGTTGCCCAGGCTGGTCTCAAACTCCTCGGTACAAGTGATCCTTTTGCCTCAGCCTCCCTAGTAGCTGGGATAACAGGAATGTGCCACCACACCCAGCTAATTTAGACTCTAAATGGAAAAAAAAAAAAAACCCACATGTGTTCCAGAAACTTCAGGACATAATTAGCTTAGTAACTGTATTATAGGAGAAAAAAATTGAGTTATTTCACTGATGGGTAAAAATAACTTGATAGAAATAGAAGTTATAATCCTGAAAATGATCAGCAATATTTTAAGTAGTAAAGATTTAATGATATGTCATTTTTAAAATTCAAAAACCACATAGAAACATGGGGAATTTTTAAAAATACCCATATACAAAGCAATATACATAAAATGTGTGGGTGTGTGTATATATATATATATATATATATACACACACATATATATTTATACATACATATTTATTTATTTATATTAATAATGTAGAATATATGCTAGTAGAAGGTAAAGCTAGTAAGGCTGCATGTTGGTGGTAGGATTGATGGTTTTTTAAATTATCTGTTTAAAAATTTTATTTTTGTAATTCATAGCTTTAATTAATAATGATTTATTGTCTAATCAGTAAGAATAAGTAGAACAATTAATATCACTACCAACTCATTCACTCTTATCTAGAGGCCAGTCTGACTTATAAATAATTCTAGTGGACACATCTAAAAAGAGGTGCATGTCAACAATACCTATTGTGGTTAAATACAAACAGAATTTTTCCAAGTTCCACTAAAGCCTCTACTTGTCTAACAGAAGCAGGTATGGGTGATTAATAAGAACTCACTCTGTCAATAGCCATGAAGGTTAGTATCACTAGATGAGATACCTTTTGCCAAATGAATCTGAATGTTAAAGAGAGAAAACACATTTTTTTCATTGTGTCAATTATGACAAATAGGTAGCTCCAAAAGTGAGAAAGACTAGGCTCATTATTTCTAAGATGTTAAGGCTATATTGAACTGGAGGAAAATGTAAACAGTGATTACTCTCTTACCCAAGATGCATCATGAACATCAAAACAGTCTTGGAGTTCACTGTGTCTCCTACACCCATAACCACCAAAATATATTAGTCTGAAAAACAAATACAAAAGGACACACTTGAGAAATTGTTTCCAGTTTGTTCGCAGAAAACTGAAAAAGATCCTCTCACCTTAACAACCCAAACACAAAATCACAGTTTAAAAAGAACAGAGAACAGAGGGAACAAAGAGACCTAAATAAACCAATTCCAGAAAGTGATGAGCTCTCAATGGGACAGAAGAGACCCATAGCTGCTTTTATTCCTGGTATAACATCAGGAGGAAGAATCCAGCACATACAGGGTTTGTAAGAAGAAACTACTCAAATTTTTAACAGCTACATATATATTGGCATGGCAAATTAGATTAAAAAAATTTTTTTTGAGACAGGTTTGCCTCTGTCACTTAGACTGGATGCAGTGGCATGAACATGATCTCAACTCACTGCAATCTCCGCCTTCACAGCTGAAAATCTCTAGAAAATCTCAGTGCTCAAATATAGGGCCCTCATAAAGGAAAGTACTGTCCCAAAACATTTGAAGCCAGTGGTAAAACTCCATCAAACTAAAACTACAGCAAGGCCCAAACACAAATCACCAACAGATTAGATGGACTCAACTCTTACTTTAGCAACTTGAAAAGAAGAAAGGGCATGTCCCTTTCTGAAGATAAATATAATTTATTCCAATCTTTACTGTTCTTTCAGATCAAAGATCTTGCATATAATAAAAAAAGGTATAGGGAGGCTGAGGCAGGCAGATTGCTTGAGGCTAAGAGTTTGATATCAGCCAGGGAAACATAAGAAGACGGACGGACGGACGGACGGACGGACGGACTGATGGAAGGAAGGAAGGAAGGAAGGAAGGAAGGAAGGAAGGAAGGAAGGAAGGGAGGAAGGAAGAGGGGGAGGGGGAGGGGGGAGGCAGGGAGAGAGGTACATACCTGTAGTCTTAGCTACTCAGGTGGCTGAGGTGGAAAGATTGCTTGAACTCAGAGTTCAAGGTTGCACTGAGTTACAATCATACCACTGTACTCCAGCCTGAGCCTGAGTGAGAACTTGTCTCAAAAAATAAAAATTACAAAATACACAAAAAGGCACAAAAAAATGGCCAATGATCATGAGAGAAAAGACTCAGTATAAACAGACTCAGAGGTAGTCTAGATACTGAAATTATCAGAAAGGGCCTTTAAAAAAGCTCTTTTTTTTTTTTTTTGAGATGGAGGCTTGCTCTGTCACCCAAGCTGGAGTGCAGTGGTGTGATCTCGGCTCACTGCAACCTCTGCCTCCTGGGTTCAAGCAATTCTCCTCCCTCAGCCTCCTGAAGAGCTGGGATTAACAAGTGTCTGCCACCAAGCCCAGCTAATTTTTGTATTTTTAATAGAGATGGGGTTTCACCTTCCTGGCCAGGCTGATTCTCAAACTCCTGACCTCGTGATCTACCTGCCTTGGCCTCCCAAAGTACTGGGATTAGAGGCAGGAGCCACTGTGCCTGGCACAAAAAAAAGGCTCTGATGAGGATACTAGTAGTGGAAAAATGTGGACAAAAAGCAGGAATAAATGAATAATTTCAGCAAAGACATAGAACCATAAAATAGAACTAAATGGAAATGCTAAAAATCAAAAATAAGGTGTCAGAACTAGAAAATTCAATAAATAGATTGAACAGCAAACTTTTTAAAACAATTTCCTTCCTGGAACTTGATAATTAACAGCAAACTTGACACAGCAATGGAAAAGATCAGCAAACTTGAAGACAAGTCAATACATCAATAAAAAATATCCAAATTAAAACACAAAAGGAAAGAATGGGAAGAAAAGAAACAGGTAGCCAAAGCTTTGTGGAACAATATCAAAATGGTCTAACATGCATGTAATGGGAGACCCAGAAGGGTAGACAAAGAAATATGGAGAAAAAATATTTGATAATTTAATTACTAAGAAACTGATGGACAATGTCAACCTACAAACCCAAGAAGCTAAGCATACTCCAAGTAAGATAAATACAAAGAAAGGAACTACATCAAGGCATATTCAATCAAATTATTAAAGGGCAAAAATATAAAACAGGTAAAGAAAAAAAAAGACATATACAGAGAAAGAAAACACAAATGAGAGTAAATTTGTCACAAAAAATATGGTAGCCAGGCTGGGGAGAGTAAGTCAACTATGCAATGCCAGCAGTGCGGAAGGCTGAGGCAGGAGAACTGCTTGAACCCCAGAGTTTCAGGTCAGCCTGGGCAACATAGTAAGATCCTCATCTCTACAAAAAATTACAAAAAGGTCAGGCATGGTGGCTCATGCCTGTAATCCCAGCACTTTGGGAAGCCGAGGCAGGTGGATCACCTGAGGTAGGGAGTTCGAGACCAGCCTGACCAACATGGCAGAGCCCCATCTCTACTAAAAATATACAAATTAGCCAGGCATGGTGACAGGCACTTGTAATCTCAGCTACTTGGGAGGCTGAGTCAGGAAAATCACTTTAACCCAGGAAGCGGAGGTTGCACTGAGCCAAGATGGTGCCATTGCACTCCAGCCTGAGTGACAGAGCGAGATTCCATCTTTAAAAAAAAAGGAAAAAGAATAAAAGGGGAAAAAAACTCATTTCAGAAATAAAGACAATGTTACAAAGAGCAAAGAGAGACAGTTATCACAGAAAATACAGTAAAGGACATAATGAATAAAAATATGAAAAACCACAAAAAGTAGTTAAAAAGATTTAACAAGAAATGATAAACAGGGAGATGAAAGCTAAAATATTCATAATTGAAATTTCCCTTCTTCCCAAAAATGGAACGGAAGGATTAGAAATGTGGTTCACAAAAACTAGCATTGAAGGAATGAGAGGGAGAGAGGGATGAAGAGGTTACCATCTAGTTTTATTGATGCTCAGAAAATAGGGAAATGATAAATACTGTTCAGAGAAAAAGAAAGAGAAATACATGAAAGTATAAATATAAGCACTGGGTTTAATCAAGGCCCTACCCAGTGCAATACGGCAGCAAAAAGTTTAAAGATTAGAAAGGAAGAAATAAAATGGGCATTATCCACAGATATACTGATCATTTAGAAAATCAACTGCTATCTTGAAAAAAACTCATACCTTTAAGTTTTCTGTATTTTAGCCAAAAGCTATTATCTTTGCTTAGGTAGACATAATGCATTAAGTGCAACTGCTGCATTACCTGTCTTTATATACCCAGCAGGAAAGCTTATCACGTGGTGTAGGTGGTTGTCCTTCAAAGCTGGTGATTTTTTGCCAAATGTAGGTTCCATCTCTTGTTCGTAAATTAACAAAATAAAGCTTTAAAACATGAGAACGCTATTAGTAGACAGGGCATTTAAAAATTAAATCTGTACCAGAGGAAATGTGATCCAAGATTACTTTTTTCTTTTTAATAGGTAAGCTTGTTACTTATTAAAAATTAAAAATTGTAGAATAAAAATGAGACTGTTTTAGGAATAAAAATGATATATAATATATTGAAATGAGTTTTTCCCATCCTGCTCTTGTCCTATGAATATCAATTAAATATGCAGTTAATTCTGAAGCAAAAAGACAGAAGAGAAGAGCAGGACTGCTGCATTTTCAATCTAGCTTTAAAACCTTTAATTACAAGTTTAAGGTTTTCTATGTAACTTCTTTTTAAAATATTTGTAACTTGTGAAAAGAAATGATACATTAAATATTACATTTTGCTGCACTCTTGAATTAAAGAAATTATTACTCGATTGCTGTATCCTTTGTCATCATATCCTCCAAAAATGTACAGCTTTCCATTAATGCAAGCACCACAGCTTCCTGACATGGAGGCTGGGAGTTCTCCTTCCATGAGGTGCATTCTCCTGCAGCAAAAATAACATGGAATCTCATAACTTTCCAGAAAGGCAAATTAAAATTCTCTTTAAACTCCATGAGTACTTTTGTCAGTGAAAACTGTCACTGTCAATTACAATTACAATGTAATGGTGGCCAATAATATAAAAACTCTAAGAAGATCCAGGGTAAAAACTTTTCAACCTGCTAGGAAAACAAAATCACAAAAATTTCACGTCACTAGAACTGGGAATTTGCAGAATAAAACAAAATCTTCAGAGACAGCACTGGTCTTGAGAGAAAAGACAAAAAGTGGAGTGGGAAAGACAATAGGGGAATGAACGAGCCAGAGAATAAAAGCATTGAAAGAAAAGAAAAGGGAGACTTCAAAAATGCTGCAGTATGTTGGAAGTATGGTCTCAAATTCCTTATAGTCTACAGAAACATTTAGAACAGATACTAAGACCAGACAGTCTGCAATTTAAAATTACTTACCACAACCCACTATCAATATCATAGGTCCAAATTTCATCATTAGGCAAATATACTTCATTGTCTTCAATAGACTAAAAATACAGAATACATAAAATTATGTTTTTTTTGTTTTTTTGTGTGTGTTATAAAATTATGTTTATCAATTACATAGTAAACAGTTACACAGCTTCTCAAGATAAGAAAAATAGTTATTAAAATACTGTAAAACACAAAAGGCTCAAAGATTATTTTAATATAAAATAGAATATATCAAAAGAAAATGAAAGAAAGATTTTCTAAGAGAAAGTGGGAAAACAATAAATGATCAAAATAAAACCTAGCAAGTATATGAATCTCAAGAAAATACTTTTGTCAATTAAACCTTTAAAAGGGGCTTTATGTAAGAGAAAATATCAAAACAGTAAGATTTAGAGCAGAATATTAAAGACTATAAAGCCAGGAATAAAAGAATCATCCAAAAAAGGGTAATACATTTTGAGTGACAGGAAGTACTGATGGATGAATTTTTTCCAATATATAATTAAATACCTTATTAAGATATCTCAGATACTTTAATTCACTCAACATATTTTTGGAGTGCCTACTATATGCAAAGCATAATGTTAGGTGTTCATTAAATCTAGAATATAATGATCGTAATATATTTAACTAGTCAAAATGATAACTCTGAACTTGAATAATCTCTAAAGAAGCTGATCACAAATAGAATAACACATTCTGACATTCATGATGAAAAGAGAAATAAGACTTTTATTTTGATCTTAAAAAACTTAGGGGTAAAACAAATCTTTACACAAATCTGTGACATTTCTCAGAATCTACATAATAATTCAAAAACACTGGCTAGGCACCGTAGCTCAGCCCTGTAATCCCAGCACTTTGGGAGGCTGAGGCAGGTGGATCACCTGAGGTTAAGAGTTTGAGATTAACATGGTAAAACTCCACCTCTACTATAAATACAGAAAAACTAGCCAAGCATGGTGGTACACGCCTATAAGCCCAGCTACTTGGAAGGCTGAGGCAGAAGAATCGCTTGAACCAGGGAGGCAGAGGTTGCAGTGACCTGAGATTGTGCCACGGCACTCCAGCCTGGGCAAAAGAGCAAGAATTCATCTTAAAAAAAAAACTAGAGTTTTGGCCTGGCGAAGTGACTCATGCTTGTAATCCCAGTACTTTGGGAAGCTGAGGAGGGCAGATCACGAGGTCAGGAGTTCAAGACCAGTCTGGCCAACATAGTGAAAGCTCGTCTCTACTAAAAATATAAAAATTAGCCAGGCATGGTGGAGGGTGCCTGTAGTCCCAGCTACTCAGCAGGCTGAGGCAGGAGGATCACTTGAACCCAAGAGGCAGAGGTTGCGGTGAGCCGAGATTGTACCCCTGCACTCCAGCCTAGGTGACAGAGTGAGACTCTGTCTCAGAAAAAAAAAGTGCTAGAGTTTTAAAATAGCACTTTAAGAATTTCTAAAACTGGTGGGGCATGTTGGCTCACACCTGTAATCCCAGCACTTTAGGAGGCTGAGGTGGGTGAATCACAAGGTCAGGAGTTCAAGACCAGCCTAACCAAAGTGGTGAAACCCCATCCCTACTAAAAATACAAAAACTAGCTGGGCATTGGTAGTATGTGCCTGTAACTACAGCTGCTTGGGAGGCTGAAGTAGGAGAACTGCTTGAACCTGGGAGGCAGAGGTTGCAGTGAGCCAAGATCATGCTACTGCACTTTAGCCTGGCAACAGAGCGAGACTCTATCTCAAAAAAAAAAAATTGTAAAACTATGTAATAAGTAAGTTATTAACATACTAAGTAGATTTAGCTGTTTCTCATTGTATGTTATTTAAATTTAAAAATAGGCTGGGTGTAGTGGCTCATTCCTGTAATCCCAGAACTTTGGGAGGCCGAGGTAGGAGGATCTCTTGAATCCAGGAGTTCAAGATCAGCCTGGGCAACATAGCCAGGCCCTATCTCTACAAAAACAACCCCAAAAACTTAGCTAGGCCTGATGAGGGCTGAGGTGGGAGGATCACTTGAGCTCAGGAGTTTGAGGCTGCAGTGAGCTATGATAGTACCACTGCACTCCAGCCTGGGCGACAGAGCCAGACCCTGTTTCTAAAAAAAAAAAAATAGTATCTTGTATCTTGATCATGTCTTTATCTGTCTCTCTCTCAAGTAAAAACAGAAAACCATTGCATTAATTCCAAAGAAATTAAACTTACACTATGTCTAAGTCTTTTCAACAGAAGGTGCTGGGAAAACTGGATATTCAAATGCAAAAGAATGAAACTAGGATCCTATCTTTCACCATATACAAAAATCAAATAAAAATGGATTAAAGACTTAAATCTAAGGCTTCAAACTATGAAACTACTACAAGAAAATATTGGGGAAACTCTCCAGGACATTGGTCTGGGCAAAAATTTGTTGAATACCCCATAGGCACAGGCCATCAAAGCAAAAACAGATCAGTGGAATCATATCAAGTTTAAATGCTTCTGCACAGTGAAGGGAACAGTCAACAAAATGAAGTGACAACACACAGAATGGGAAAAAAATGTGCAAACTACCCATCTGACAAGGGATTAATAACTAGAATATACAAGGAGCTCGAACGACTCTACAGGAAAAAAATCTAACAATCTGATTTAAAAATGGGCAAAATCTCCCAAAATTGGATGTCAAGTGGATAAAAAAAAGAAAAGAAAAAAATGGGCAAAAGACTTGTATACATATTTCTCAAAAGAAGACATATGAATGGCTCATAAAAAGATGCCCAAATCATGGATCATCAAATAAATCAAAACTACAATGAGGTATCATCTCACTTCAGTTAAAATAGCTTTTTTTTTTTTTTGAGATGGAGTCTCGCTCTGACACCAGGCTGGAGTACACTGGTGCAATCTCAGCAACCTCCACCTCCTGGTTCAAGTGATTCTTCCACCTCAGCCTCCCAAATAGCTGGGACTACAAGTGTGTACCACCATGCCCAGCTAATTTTTTAATTTTTTAGTAGAGATGAGGTTTCACCATGATGGTCAGGATGGTCTTGATCTCTTGACCTCGTGATCCGCCTGCCTTGGCCTTCCAGCACCTGTGAAGTGCTGGGATTACAGGCGTGAGCCACTGCGCCTGGCCTAAAACGGCTTTTATCCAAAAGAAAGGCAGGAACAAATGCTGTTAAGGACGTGAAGAAAAGGGAACTCTCATATACTTTGGTGGTGGGCATGTAAATTAGTACAACTACTATGGAGAACAGTTTGAAGGTTCCCTAAAAAACTAACAATAGAGCTACCATATGATCCAGCACACCCACTGCTACGTATATATTCAAAAGAAAGTAAATCCGTGTATCACAGAGATGTCTGCACTCTCATGTTTGCGGCAGCACTGTTCACAATACCCAAAATGTGGAAGCAACTTGTGTCCATCAGCACATGAATGGATAAAGAAAATGTGGTACTCATACACGATGGAGTACTATTCAGCCATAAAAAAGAATGAGATCCTGTTGTTTGCAATAACATGGATGGAATTGGAGGTCATTAGCTAAGTGAAATAAGCCAGACACAGAAAGTCAAACATCACATGTTCTTACGTATTTGTGAGATCTAAAAATCAAAACAGTTGCCCTTGGCCGGGCGCAGTGGCTTGTGCCTATAATCCCAGCACTTTGGGAGGCTGAGGAGGGCATATCACGAGGCCAGGAGTTTGAGACCAGTGTGGCCAACATAGTGAAACCCCACCTCTACTAAAAACACAAAAAAATTAGCCAGTGTGGTGGTGTGTGCCTGTAATCCCAGCTACTCGGGAGGCTAAGGCAAGAGAATCGTGTGAACCTGGGAGGTAGAGGTTGCAGTGAGCCAAAATCATGCCATTGCACTCCAGCCCAGGTGACAGTGTGAGAGTCTGTCTCAAAAACAAAAAAACAACTGCTCTCATGGAGGTAAGAGAGCAGAAGGATGGTTACCAGAGGCTCGGAAGGGTAGTGGGAGGGTAGAAGTGGATGGATAGGGATGGCTAATGGGCAACAAAAAATAGAAAGAATAAGACCTAGTATTTGATAGTACAACAGGGTGACTATAGTCAATAATAACTGTACATTGCAAAAATAACTAAAAGAGTATAATTGGATTGTCTATAAATATATCCCCTTCTGAATAAATACTTGAGGGGATGTCCCATTTTATATGATGTGTCTATTATGCATTGCATACCTGTAATCAAAATATCTCATGCATCCCATAAATATATATACCTATTACCCACAAAAATTAAAATATAATTTTTTTTCAAACAATGAAAAACATAAACTTATACTCATGTCTAACTGAGGAATCTATATTGAATGGCTAAGTAAACAATAATTATAAGAAGGAGAGTTACTTTATGAGTCTAAGGTTTAATGGCCTTAGGTTGCAGTAGCCTCATGTGTACTCCTTTTTTTTTTTGAGACAGAGTCTCACTCTGTCACCAGGTTGGAGTGCAGTGGCGCAATCTTAGCTCGCTGTAACCTCCACCTCCTGGGTGCAAGCAATTCTCCTGCCTCAGCCTCCTGAGTAGCTGGGACTACAGGTGTGTGCCACCATGCCAAGCTAATTTTTGTATTTTTAGTAGAGACGGGGTTTCACCATGTTGGCCAGGATGGTCTCGATCTCTTGACCTTGTGATCCACCCGCCCTGGCCTCCCAAAGTGCTAGGATTACAGGCATGAGCCACCGTGTCCGGCCCTGTATACTCCTTTACAAAAGAAATATCATGAAAATGAATTGTCATTATTCTGTTTAAATCCCATCAACGGCTCCCTACTGCTTTTAGCATAGTCTAAAATGTTTATAATTGTATACTATACGGTACCGCTATCCCTCAAAACTTCAGGCCAGGCACGGTGGCTCATGCCTCTAATCCCAGCACTTTGGGAGGCCAAGGAAGGCGGATTACAACGTCAAGAGTTTGAGACTATCCTGGCCAACATGGTGAAACCCCATCTCTACTAAAAAATCAAAACTAAATCAAAAAAATTAGCTGGGTGTGCTGGCGTGTGCCTGTAGGCCCAGCTAGTCGGGAGGCTGAGGCAGGAGAA